AGACCGGGCCTTCCCTTGGCCGACCAGCCTGAGGCTGCGGCGCGTATACGGGAAGGCCCGCGGCCGAACACTGAGCGAGGTACTGGTGGTTTAAGGCGCCAGTACACCACATATCGGCCCGCAGGTGTCAGCACGAAACCCGCACCACTTCGGAGGCCGCCGATTTTTTTATTTTTTTTTTCAACGGCGGGCCTGGCCGCGCGGCCCCTCCGAGTTTTGCTTGTGGCTACAAAAACTTTCTGCAAGGCTGGGCCCGTGTACTAGCGGTTTAAGGCGCCACTACTGAGAACTCAAACCCTAAACCCAAAGATTGAAGAAACCAAGAACATAAAATACAGCGAACAAACTGTAGAAATACAGACCTGAGTTCAAATCCAGACCGAACTAGATGAACTGAATTCTTGAATTACCTGGGCCCGATCACCTTCACGATGATATCCCAAGGCCGTTGCCCTCAAAAAAAAAAAAAACAGAAAAAAAAAAACCACACACAAACAAGCACAAACCTTGACATTCACTGGTTGGCAGATGACGAGACGTCCCCTCAAATCCGGAAAGGAAAAGAATATAAGCAACAACAACGGACATTCAGGTCAGGTAATTGACAGCAAAATCGCCTGATGGATCATGGTGCCAGCAACTAACTGAACTGACAGAGCCAATCAAACTTCTTCTCAGCTCTTGAGGATCAAATCGTTTGGCCGCCGCTGGCTAAACACGGAGACGCATGGTCCTCCTCGCACACCCTCAGTTTGTGTTCAAGAAACGAGGAAGTCCCCTGCGCTTCAGTCAGGAGTCGTTCTTTCACACGTTTTCGAAACATGCGAAACCATATCCAAGATCCAAGTCAACCTGGGACAGAAAGAATGGGTGCGAAATAACATCAAAATCAACCTGCCACTGACATCCAACTCAACCTTTTTTGTTTTTGTTTTTTTTTGTTTTTGTTTTACATCCAACTCAACCTGCCGCTGCTCAACTGGGGTGGCACACACCAAAAAGATACTGTCAAGGACCAAGCCATGAGAATCATGATGAGATCTATAATGATAATAGTATGTTTGCCAGGACCCAAATCCGCGGCCACACACACGGACTCGAACCGGTGATCTCGGGATTGTGCTATTCTTGTTTAAACCCACCAGTGCACGCCATACATTGGCCACGCGCTGCTAAGGCCGCCAATTGAATTTATCGACGGCAGCCCCGCCCCGCTCGCCCCGCTCCGCCTCGCTCCGCCCCGCCCCGCCCCGCCCCGCCCCGCCCTGCCTTTTTCCGATGGGCGACAACGCCGACGAGTTTTGTTTCAGCAAGGCTGGGGCCCGGTACTGGTGGTTTAACTTCAACACAGCTAACGGTCGCGATGCGATTGTCTGCTTTGCAAGTTGCTACCTAAGGTTGACCTCTATCGGTTTCAAGTCGCGGGTTCAAATCCCGTCATTCCTGGGACGTATGGCCGAGTTGCGGAAGGCACTGGTTTGCTAAATCAACATAACAAGTTTGGACTCCCGATTCCGGGTTTGGATCTGTTGGACAGACCCCACGCTTTTTCTTCACCTGATTTTGACGCCTTTCTTCCCACCCTTTTTTTTTTCTAACTCTTTCATATGTTGCTAAGTCAGTGCGAGTTACGCACCACTTCTCATTAATTCAGCCTCCAGCGATGGGTACCGCACAATGCTCTCTCTCTCTCTCTCTCTCTCTCTCTCTCTCTCTCTCTCTCTCTCTCTCTCTCTCTCTTTAAGTGTTTTTTTTTTTTTAATCGCACAATGCTCAACACAATCAGCACTCAGGATGTATGGCTTTGGCGGAAGTGAAGGCAGACTCTATCTACCTGGCGAAGGTGATCCTCATGAGGGAATGGAAGTTGCAGAGACCTGGGGATGTAGGGCTTTGCTTCTTCCTCCCTCCCTTCATGAAACAGAAACTCAAATCTGAGTTCTGGTAAGCGGAGCGGCGAGCTTGGATCACCCTCCCGCCGGATGTGAGGACCCCAGCGGTAACAAAAGAGGACGTGCTAAGTCAGTGCCTGTTTTGAAAATCTTTCAATTCGGGACCATGACGGCCTGATGATTTCAGCAGGAACAAAACCAGGTGCCTTTGGCAGAGCGTGGATCCATAAAGGAATCTCACGGATAGCGGATGTATGGTCTCCTCTCACCAGCTCCTGGCTCCCGCTCTCGAACCTCATGCCCTCCCTTGCAAGGCCTGTCGAATGTCCACGAGAACTGGCTCTGTCTGATTCAGTCCATCCTCGATGACTGGAAAGCTCTCCTCGGCCCTGAGGGTCTCGACCCGTTGGACACCTGGTACAGCCCGAGGGAGTACGGTCTCACGGTATCGAAAGACCTGGAATCAACACCGGCAGGTTTCAGGAGGGTTCAAGTATAGGAAGGCAGTGTTCAAAACGATCTGCTTCAATGCTCCGGTGAAGAGGTTATCATGCAGTGGGACAATCCTCCACAGGCCCGAGTTATTGAGTGGAAAGATGGTAAAGGGGCCCAGAAATGCACACAGTGGATAGGGAAGGTGCCTCTACGCGAGCTACCTATCGATCCTTTGGCCTGGGGCTAGCAAGGCGGTAGAATATCGTTGGCTTCCCCGCTCAGCCTCAACCTGTCAAACATCTCAGTTGGGGATTCATATCGACTTGCGGATGGAGGTGGTCGTTCTCCTACTTCAGTGGCCATCTCTAGATGCAGCGCTCTTCTCCTGGAGGACTTGCAGCAGTTGGCAGAGAACGGCAGTCTCCATCTTGTGGATGCTGTCGCTGCTGGTGACCCCCTCGGCGATCTGGTGACGGGCAGGGGAGCGGAGGTCAATCGGGGATGTACACGCTGTACCTGGCCATTTGAGTCCACCAGACATCTACGGTGGGGACTGTCCGGCCTCAAGAGGATCTGGACATGGTGGGCATACCATTGGCAGATGATGGGGGGCAACATACTCTCGTGGGATGAGAAGTGGGGATACGTAGCTCACGTGGTGAGAGCGGTCATCTGGGCAGATAGAAACCGCTCTCGATTCGACCACCACCCATTCTCCGATGTCGAGCTGAAAGCAGCCATCAGAAGGGGCATCACTCAGGCCATTTTGGTGGACTGGAGAAGACGAGCCAAGAAGGGCAAAGGACTCCCAGAAGAGATATCTGGTGCTTTCTCAGAACATGGCCCCAAGGGAACCAACTCCCATGCATCCACCGCACCAAGGGACTATTTGTAGCTAGGTGGCTTTTGAAGTAGTGCAGATTAGTTTCTGGCCTGTGGATACCAGGGCACACTCAGTGCCACAGTCCTATTTAGTTATAGTCTGAGTGTCATCTTCTCCAACCAGGGCACTCGGTTGTTTAGGGCCGCAGTGGGCCGTTAGGTGAGTGCCAGGTTAGAATAGGTCAGAGATAAGGCCAGGACAGCTTAGGATGAGTCCTCTGGGCCGTGTTAGTAGTGGTTGTTTAGGGCCGCAGTGTCGACCGTTAGGTGAGTGCCTGGTTAGAATCTGTCTCTTATACACATCTAGATGTGTATAAGAGACAGGCTTAGGATGAGTCCTCTGGGCCGTGTTAGTAGTGGTTGTTTAGGGCCGCAGTGTCGACCGTTAGGTGAGTGCCTGGTTAGAATAGGGTAAAGATTAGGTTAGGACAGTTTAGGATGGGTCCTCTGGGCCGTGTTAGTAGTGGTTGTTTAGGGCCGCAGTGTGGACCCCATTAGGTTAGTCCCAGGTTAGAATAGGTTAGAGATTAGGTTAGGACAGCTTAGGATGGGTCCTCTGAACCGTGTTAGTCCCAGTTCACGACTTACTTATAGTTTTAGTATACGGATAGTTGGCTCCCCGTTGTTGTATATAGCTCCAGTAAAAGTGTTAGTCTCATCTTCGGATCAGCTACCTCAAAATGACTCTGTATAATTTCTGTTCAGAGTTACCTCAAGTTTCCGTTCCACCTTCTTTTTTTTTTTTTTTCAACTCTTAACCCTTTCACTCTCCCTTGAATTCTACAGTCTCTCTACTCCCCTCTGACAACATCCCTTTTCCGTTCCACCTTCTAGTTGCTTAGGGAGCTAGAATTCTGGAAAGTCAGGTCTAGTGAGTGAGTTTCTACAGGCTATATGGCCTGTAAGCTAAGCTGGCTGATCCTGTCGGTACCCCGGGTCAAATTTTGAGGTCCCCGGCCTCGACTGGATATTGAAATGACTTGAAATTGTTTTACTGTGGGGAAAAAAAAAACAAGAAAAAAGCAATCAGCACTTACTTCAGGTGTTAGCACACACTGACATCAGGGACTACCTCCAACTAACACATACCGGTGTCGGAGAGCCGTGTGATGGGAACGATCACGTGCGGTTGTGAGGGCGGAGAAAATAAACTTAAGCCCGACCCACCGTATCTATGATAAGTATTCAGCGTTCTTGGAATTAGTGTGTGGGCCCAAGATGCCTCCCTTACTCGTGTGGTGGTATGACAGTTCAATGACTTCGCTGTATGCTGAAAAAGCTTTCTACTCTCCCCATTGCGTCCACAACACGGCATCTCGACAGAAATATTTTGATACAATTTATGTTCCGTTGGTGCCACTAAGTCAGTTTGGCCTGGTAGCACTGTTCAGCCGAAGAGCCTGGAATCAGTGGAATGTCACATTTTCGATTCTTCTTATTTTTTTAACACATTTCCGATTCTCAAGTTTGCCTGGACGACGTACTGGTGGTTTAAACTTTAAAGAAAAGAAACGACAAATCTGGCAGTCGACAGACTATGGACAACAGGCATTAGATCATTCATGCTTTGTTATAGTTTCACATCAGGCATCAGATTTCTAAACATAGACAGAGGCCATTATAGTCCAGTGGGGCCTGGCCGGTATGCTGCGTGCCCGTCATTCCTAATCAACAGGTTTCTTGGCATACAAAGGCCGACACCTGCCAAAGACATTTTTCACAGGAAGCAATGCATTGATGCTGCCATTGGGGTGGACTGGCAAATTACAACAAGGGGACTAGTGGAGAAAGTGACATCAACATGCGCGAACTGACTGGTTTTTTTTTTTTTTTTTTTTTTTTTTTTTTTTTTTTTTTTTTTTTTTTTTTTTTTTTTTTTTTTTTTTTTTTTTTTTTCTTTTTCTTTTTGTTTGTTTGTTTGTTTGTTTGTTTGTTTTTTTGTTTGTTTGTTTGTTTTTTTGTTTGTTTGTTTGTTTGTTTGGAGGAAACTGACCGGTTTGAAGATGCAAAATGAAGCCACAAACCTGGCACTGTCGCGCACCTCCACGTCAGGAAACCGCAGGCAGAGAACCTGAAGGATCTGACACGACAACGAAAAGATCTCCGAGCTATGGTGATTCAGCATGGCGATCCGGCATAAACCGAGCACTTGGTTCCCATGCAGCCACAGTCTCTTCCTTGGCCGCTTCACCGCCTGAGAGGCTGCAGCCTTGGAGCCACCACTTCCACGCGACACCACTGGAGGGGGTACTTGTCCTCCTTTCGAACCTGTACTTCCAGGGATCAGTCCCAAACCCTCTCGTGCACAAAGGTACCGAAAGAGAAGCCTCAACACCGGTTGCGGAGGGATTTCCTTATTCTCCAGGAGTTTCTCCATGAACGGAAAATAGGCCGGCAATGCGCGATTCGCCTGCAAATCCGGCAGCAAGTCTGTTTGGATTCTCCACAGAAGCATATCGCCTGCCTTGCGATGGAGCGCGCATATGGACAGTCTCCTCACAAAGTCTAGAACACCAGGTACCGCTCTCAAAATTTTAAGGCTCGTCGACACGAGAATGTCCTTCACGGCACGGAAGAGGACCAACCTGAGCTCTGGAGAGCCGCAATGCGAGTCCCAACGCTTGGCCTCTGCTTGAGGAGAAGGGATTGGGGCCAACAGTGGTCCAGGTCGAGATCCCGACTTCTGCAAACAGTTCTCAGATACAGGACAGGTTGCCGACAGGACGCGATGCAGAGTGCGCAGCATGATGTGCTCCTCAAGCGAACCGTGCGCGGCAAGCTGGTATCCAGCCACAGAGGAGAGCGATTCGGCTAGGAGCTTGCAAGCTGGATGCTTCTGCCCATCCTGCTGCGTCGGTGCAGTTGCAATCACTTCCATGAGGTAAGGTATGCAGTAGGCCAGCATTTCAAGGCAGATCGCCTTCAGCGATAACGGGTCGAACAGCGAAGGGTAGAGGCCCTTAACACAGACCTTGAGACAAGAGAGTGCAGTGGTGTTCGCTGCAGTGCCGGCAGAGGACATTTCCTGCTGCTGTTGTTGTTGCAGCTGCTGCTGCTGCTGCTGTTGCAAGAGGAGAGGGAGGAAAGAAGAGTGCAGTTGAGAGCCTGCCAACCAGTGAATGCTGAGCAAACGGAAAACGAGAGGGAGTGCGGCGTCCTTAGAGAGAAGGAAGATCCATTTCAGCAGCTGGGCAAGATCACCTCCATCGAAAGCGTCAGGCAATCGCACGTGCAGTAACAAGAGGGCGTGGCACAACGCGGGATCGTGCACATCAAGGATGGGAAGGAGATGGTGCTTGATGTGACTGAACCTTATGTCCAGCGCAACGACCGTAGAAGAAAGCAACATAGCAAGCTCAAGGACACTGCACGGAGTTAGGCGGTGCAGGCTCTCCAAGACGAAAGACACAACACGGGAAGACTCTTTCCACATCGACGGAGACAGCTCACAAACAGGGATGCTGCTGGTGCTGACAGCTGGTGCAGAAGCAGTGGTGTCCGCGGAGGAAGCTGGAGCGTTTTCGGCAGCAATCCCTGCTCTGCCTGACACATCCACTTCTCCCGCATCACTAAACCTGCCAGATTGGGAAGGCGTCATACTGACCGCCGCCTTACGTGGCCCTGGAGTGCGTTGTAAGGACGACCTCGATTGGGAGTCGGTGCTCTTTCCCGAGACAGACCCAACCGACCCCAGCACTTCCGGTCCTGCAACCTGCTGCCTTTCAGAGCCATAGACTGCCCCCTTTGACCTGTTCTGCGCACATAGTTTGTCGGCATTGCAGAACGTCAGCAGAAAGCTAGGAAGCGTGAAGGGAAGCAGAGGCGTTTGCATGGACAACAACGGCCGGCTTTGGCTGTGAAGGCCATCTCCTGCATCGGATGCAGCCTGTGCCTTCACGGACGAGGCCGCTTGCAGCCACAGGGAGATTGAAGAACTGAGCGAAAGGGGCGGCCAATCCGAAGAACGACTAGCTCGAGAAGACGCCGCCGCCGAGTTCCCGGCGGTAGAAGGTGCAGTCGGGAGCACACAGAGGCATGCAGACACATGTTGGAGGATAGTAGTGAGAAGGAGAATGTAAGACTGGATCACATGAGTTTTTTCACTCTGGCAAAAGATGTGAATGTGGCCAATGCAGTTATGAAGCAAGCACGGATATGCGAGTTCCAGCTCCCTAAGGCATTCACAAGCAACGCCGCGAACATGCCTGTCTTGCCCCTGATTGACTCTGCTGATGATGGCCAACAGTACCTCCACCAGGGACTGTAGCTTCAGAGGATTCGATCTCGCGATCTCCAATTGAATGGCAAGCGACGTGAACGTCACGAGGACTTGCCCCTTGAATACATAAGTCACAAACGAGCCATCGACAGACACGCCAACAACCGCTAGAAGAATGTCGACGACCCGATTGAGCGCAGCAGAGGGATTTGGACCGACTAGGATCTCCCCATACTCTTCCAAAAGGCACAGTGCTAAGGATTTCAACTGCAAGTCCTTTTCGCGAGCTATCACATTCAACGCGTTTTCGAAAAGCATCGGCGGAGGATACACGGTCAACCATCGTCGTCGGGACTTCTCCCTAGCACCGAAGTCTATAAGAATTTGCTCCCATTCCTGCACGGAAAGGGCCTTTTGCGCATCCATCTCGCCCTGAAACGCGAGTCGACCCTACCCTTTGACCCACCCTCCTCCTCCCAGCGTGCCACCCTATAAAGAACACATGCCTTTCTTCCCTCACACGAGGGAAGAGGGCAGTGTTCACACTGTGCCAAGCTAGCACTCTCGTGACCCTTCTCTCACAAGAAACACAGACCGGCCAAAGGGACTGCGGTCAAAGGATAGCGTAATCCTTCTCGTCCACCCATTGGCACTTAGACGCTAAGAGGCAAAGCAACAACGAAACTCAAACGGGCAAACAAATCAAGTGCTCAGCGCTCAGCAACACTCCGCTTCGCCAGTACTAAGAAGCACGAACTCCGGAGTACTCAGCTTCACCACCGCCAAGTAGTAGTAATCCACCGCATTCCTCCCAGTAGTTGAGCAGCGATCCTTGGCAGCAGTAGTCAAAATCAATACTTAGAAGCATTGCTCAGCAGTAGTACATAGCACTACCCCTAGTACTCAGCAAAGAGTGCTCAGCTTGGCCATTTTTTAGCGTTACCCTCAGCAAAGAGTGCTCAGCTTGGCCATTTTTTAGCGTTACCCCCAGCAGCACTAAAGCCACTACTTCGTCCTCAGCAGTACCCAAAGAGTGCTCTCAAGTGTGGCCAACTCTGAGTGCTGTCCAGAGGTCCTAAGTGCTTGTCAGCAGAGCTAAGAAGCACTCAGCAGTACCCAGAGTACTCAGCAGTCCTGGGTATTTGTCAGCAGAGCTCAGCAGCACTCAGCAGTACAAGCAACCAGAGAAGAAGAACTCAGAAAGACTTAAGTAGTTATCTCCACAGCACTTAACAGGTCTCAGAAGTCGTAGGTAGCACATAGTATCGCCTGTCAGTCCTGGCTATGTGCTCAGTAGTACTCAGCCGCATTTAGTTAGCACCAGGCAGTACAATGCAGCTGTACTCGACAGAGTACTCAGCTTTGCCAGTTCTCTGTGCCAGTGCTCTTGTAGTCTTCTTCCATAGCTCCTGCATCATCGGCTCGTGCAGAAACGGGTGGCTGAATCCGGCTGGCTGATTCTATCGCCAAGCTCCACGACAAGATAAAGCAGTGAAACTGTGAAAGGCAACCAACCTTTTCGATTTCTTCTACAAGGCTCAACTGTATGTTTAGTAATACCCTCCGTTGGCCTCCGTTAGCCTCCGTTAGCCTCCGTTAGCCTCCGTTAACCTTCGTTAGCCTCCGTTAACCTCTGTTAGCCTCCATTAGCCCCCGTTAGCCCCCATTAACGTCTGTTAACCCTCTGTAAACCCCTGTTAACCTCTATTAACCTCTGTTAACCTCCGTTAACAGAGGTTAACCTCTGTTAACCTCTGTTAACCTCTGTTAACCTCTGTTCAGGTGAAGACAATCATACCGCCATGACAGAGCTGCAATTTCTTTCCCTGCAAATAAATATTATGCCAGTGCGACAAACACAGACGCAGAGAAAGTTGAATATGTCAATTCTTAGCAGAAGAAGAAAGAGGGAGGAAAAAAGCAAGCTAACGGCATATATAAACACCAGAACGTTATGTATTGAGTTTTGGGCGTAACTGCAGTCAGACTACATCCAGGACGTATCTGGCCATAATGGCGACCAGATACGTCCAGGGAAGTCTTGGTGTGGATATGCCCCTAAGCCCTGTGCCACATTGACTTACCGTGCGGGGGAACGGTAATCAACAGTGATCCCCTCCTCCCCCCGCCCCCCCAAACCCAATTAATTAACAGAGCAGGTGAAAACCACAAATACTCGAATTAACCATTGGACATTGTTTTTTTTCTTTTTCTTTCTTTCTCTTTTTAACCAACAATGCAACTGATTGCGTGGGTAGACATACTTCCCCAGTTCTTTTTTGAGAATTCCAAACAGTCAGTCCGATCATCAGGAACCGCCTGTACATAGATGACTGACCGTCGACGAGAATTGCCGCGTCTTTGTGTGGTGCGTCCTTGTGGTCTGTGTGTGGTGTGTGTGGAGTTGGACACTACAGCCCCTTGCAGGCGTGGGGTGGATATCACGACCGGTATGGTTCCACTTGGGAACACCGTGTCCTGGCTGTAGTGGTTAAAAGACTTGGCTCTTGAGGCCGAGGTCGCTGGTTCGAATCCGTGAACACCGTGTCCTGGCTGTAGTCATTACGAGACTTGGATCTTGAGGCCGAAGTCGCCGGTTGTAATCCGTGCTTGCACGGAGGACGGCCTTGGGCCCAGATGTACAGATATATATCTACTGACTGTAGACAAGACTGCCGGGCAAACAACGGTGTGCTCAAAGCACTTCTGATGAAGTCCTTGGCGACAGACATCCTGTGAACCGTAAGCAGAAAGGGCAGGATTGCAAATGACGAACAAGAAACGGGGGAACTGTATAGGAGTGAAGTTTCACCGACTCATCAAGAGGCTGCATAACGTCATAGAGAAGCGCCCAGCGAACCGTGGGCAGAGAGAGGGAGAAGAGGCCAACAAACTTGGGGGCTGTGACAGACTGTTTTATGGGAGTTTCGCCAATTCATCACGAGGTTGAACCCTATACCTCGTTTGTTGTCCACTTCTCAGTCTCTGCCTACGGGTCACTATATATACAGGGCAGTTGCTGGCCTTGTACGTAAGAGGTGATGAACAGTTGGGGCTTTCCTTCCTTTCTTCTTTTCCTTTCCTTGTTTTGCTGTTTTTCGCCTTCGCGCTCTGATTTACAGTGTGACAATACATAAACAAAAAGAAAAAAAGAAAGAAAAAGTACAAATTTCTGAAGAAAAGAAAAAGAAAACAAGAAAAAAGAAAGAAAAAAAAATAAAAGAAGATGTTGAACCTTGTAGTGACAGTGGCAATTGGTTTATCTGTGGGATGTCTCATTTGCTTTCTTCCCTTGTCTTTTCTTTGATTGGATCCCTTTCTCTTTCTCTTGCCTCTGTGAGGTCTGGTTTCCTCCTTTTCTTTACCTCTTTTTTGCCTTTTGGCTGCGTGCAAGTGGGTCCTTGTGACACACGGGGATGGGGGCAGTCAGCGCTCAACCTGTCATCCACGTGCCTCCATCCATCCCCGTGTGTCACAAGGACCCACTTGCACGCAGCCAAAAGGCAAAAAAGAGGTAAAGAAAAGGGAGGAGGAAACCAAAGCTGACAAGGAAAGAAAGCCTATCAGTCAAACAAAGCAAATGCCACATCCCACAGATAATCCAATTGTCACAAAACAAATACCACATCCCATAGATCAACATATTTTTTCTTTTTTCTTATTTTCTGATTTTCTTTTTTTCTCTTTTTTTCTTTTTCTTTCTTTCTTTTTTTCTTTTTTTCTTTTTTTCTTCTTTTTTCTTTAACTGTCCCCACCTCGGCAGATAGGACAGCTATGGTGAGGATGATGTGGATGTTCACAAGGATACCCAAGGAGGGCTGCGCCAGCACAGCATTCAGCAGGACGGCTAGCACGAACCATCCCATCAAAACAGTCCTGACAAAGGACATCATGATGTTGCCCACATGTCAAAAAAAACAGCATGGCGTTCATCACAGTGCGGCATCATGCAGTTCTGATAGCGTCCTTGGGCACAAAAGGGACAACGTATATCTGGGTGACAGGGATGTGTACAATGAGGAAATGTTGGGACACCCTTCAGTACAGACGGCGGCAGTCGCAATATATATCCCTTCCTCTTTTCTTTTCCTCTTTGCTCTTTGGCTGTGTGCAAGTGGGTCGATATGACACACAGGGGTGGGGGCAGCCGCCGCTCAACCTACATCCACGTGGGCGGCCTTGTACGCAAGAGGTTCTGAACAGGGGGAGTTGTAAGAAAGAAGATAAAAAAAAACGAATTATTTTTTCTTGCTTCCTTTTGTTTTTTTCGCCTTTGCGCTCTGATATTCATGTGACAATATATACTCCGACGTTGCTACCTCTCTGCTTTTGTAGATGATGCAGCGAGCTTCGGGCCTGTACTAGCAGGCTCTTCTTTGGTTATGGTAGACAATATTTCCCTAATTCTCTTGCTACCATTTCTCCTGTTTGTGCTTTATTCTTCCCCATTTATGGAGTACTTCGTTTTGCGGACCTACTGTATGGTTCCGTTTTTTTTTTAACTACGGATATGGTAGAACTTACTTGTTTTGGTAACCTTGTCTGCATCCCCGTTGGTTTGGTCCCGTTGTTGTTCGGTCTATTTCGGCGAGCGTAGCGTAGCGGTGCTTTCACGTGGGACCAGTCATCCAGGTTCTCTTTTATTGTCTTGGCATCCTAGTTGGTTGCTTCCCGTTGTTCGGCCTGTGTGAGGACGCAGTGCTTTCATGTGGGAATCGTCATCTGGGATTGTCTTTTATGTTTTTTGTCCCAGTAAGAATGGTTTACAAATGGGAATTCCCACGTCTTGATGACGAACAAGGCCATCTGCTGTATATAGATATGTAATCTGGGATTTTTCTTTTTTTGCAGACAAGAGTTTTGTCCTGGGTGGTCTTGTCCTGTGGTTTGGCCTGTGAAGTAGGGGCGGTGCTTGCATGTGGGACTTGTCATCTAGGATCCGTTTTTGGTGCTATTGCTTGTTGCCCCTGTTTTGTTGTATTTGGCTGTTCCCTTCCTCTTTTCTTTGGCTCTTTGCCTTTTGGCTGTGTGCAAGTGGGTCGATATGACACACGGGGGGGTGGGGGCAGCCGCCGCTCAACCACATCCATGCGGGCGGCCTTGTACGCAAGAGGTTCTGAACAGGGGGAGTTGTAAAGACGAAGATAAAAATGAATTGATATCTTCTTTGTTTCCTTTCGCTTTTATCTCATATATATATATATCGTCAAATAGAACTGCCCGGTAAACCATAGGCAGAGAGGGAGAAGAGGACAACAAACGAGGGGCTGTGATATATATCGTCATATATAGGTCGAGGGGCAGTGGTCGGGGCCGTTACTAGGCGGCCATGCTGTGCCTCTCGTGCCAGCGGCGTGTCTGGAGTGTATTTTTTGGCTGTGACAGACCTTTCTTTGTTTCGTGGATGTTTTGCTGGCTTGTGATGGGGTGTGAACCGACA